ACCACAACACAAAAAAACAACAACACAGTAAAACAACAATAACACAGCAAAACAACAATAACACAGCAAAACAACAACACAACGAAACAACAAAACCACAATGAAACAACAAGTTACTGTTGGACTCAAAGTTCTGGACGATCTGGATCAGAACCAAGTAAGAGAAACTCTGGGGTCAAAGGTCAACCTGTGTTTGTGTTTCTGTCAAACAAATGAGACACAAACCAGACACCGCTCTGTGTGTGTGTGTGTGTGTGTGTGTGTGTGTGTGTGTGTGTGTGTGTGTGTGTGTGTGTGTGTGTGTGTGTGTGTGTAACGGGTCAGTGATCTGGAGGTCACAATAACACACTCCCTCCGGGTCCAGAACTGGTCTCTGTCTTCAGGGACAGCGGGTGAAGTGGACTCTCTGGTCCGGGTCAGAACCAGGTGGTCCGGTTGGCGCCTCACCTTCACGTAGTCGTACTCACACAGGTGGGACGGCTCCAGGTGGAAGTGGCTGAAGTGGAGCCGGACCCGGAACCCGTGTGGGACGCTGATGTTCCAGAACCGCTGCGTGTCCCGGGGGTACGGGTCAGGGAAGTTCGGGGACCGCAGCCTGCCGTGCATCGATGACGTCATCGCAGCACCGGGTCCGACCAGGACCAGCAGCCAGAACACAGAGACCCTGGACAGAACCAGAACCATTTAAAGCCATCATGTTTTGGTCCAAACTTAGAGGCTAAAATAATAAAATWAAATAAAATTAAATTAAATAAACTTTTTAAAATCAGTTCACTTTTTATTTTTATTTTATAAAGTAAATTATTATTTATTCATAGTTTAAAATAAATAAGTTGATTGTTTTTATTTCATCAAACTTTTTCAACTAATTTAGAAAATAAATCCTGACTCTGCTCCTGGAACCGGTTCGGACGGGTTCTGTTGTTAAATAAAACTGGTTCTGGTTCTGGTCTGAACTAATCAGAGCAGAACTTTTCTCTCTGAACGGTTCGGTTCTGATCATCAATCTGTGACCCATAAACTCGGTTCTGCTGAGACTCGAACCTGCAGCTGCCCGGAACAAACTCACCTCATCATCCCGCTGAAGAAAGTTCTGCTCCGGTTCCGAAGCTCCGCGGACCGCAGGCTGACGCTCTGACGTCATCACGTGACGTGTGAGCAGTGGAACGGGGGGAGTGACGTAACAGCCGTTCCACCGGAAGCTTCAGTGGTTCTGATCG